GTATGTGGTTCTTCTAGAAGATTATATGACTGAGTAGCTCAGTCAAAGGACATATATATACAAATCACTGGCTATTAGAAATGGAGAATTTTGTTTGTATTAAATTGCCATTGATTTTTGGTTCAATAGTGAAATACTTCTTAAAAAGTTCTTTGTCTACATCCCAGCAACATTATATTAACAAAACTAATGTGTTAGATGTCTTTATGGAACTTGGATACAATTAAAAATTGCTATTCAAAAAACAAAACAAAGAAAAAGTTGTAAACTTTTAGAATTGGAAGATTTATTTTCTCTCAGATTGAATTTGTTTTCTCTCAGATTGTTTCCTGTCTATAGCTCTGCATACTTCATATGCTGTGAGAGCTGAGCTGGTTTCTTTCCATATCATAAATGGTTTTGAAATGTTTTAAAACCTGAAACTGTTAACATTTAATGTGCTGTGTGTTGGCATTTGATCCCTACCGAACAGGATTCCATAAAAAAAGAAAAAACTGTTAATTTTAAATTGAAGACCCTGCATGATACGGAGGAGAGAATGGTTTTTAAAAATGCCATTCTTTTATAACTTCTGTTCCACAATTAAGTCAGGCTGAAACAACAAAACAATGATGAGCTAATCAAGGAATAATAAGGACTGCAAACAACAAGGAATATTCGCTTTACACAATCTGTTATGATATAAATAAAACCAGTGTTAGGTCAATTTTTCTACCTCCCACTGTTACTGTTGTCTTTTCCACCAATTAGTTCTACGTTTCTGTAAGAATTGTGCCTCACTGCTGTTATGTCTGTTCTGAATGACAATTCCAACTTTCAGCTTTTTTATTTTTTATTTTCTTGCTGGAAGAGTGACTCTCCGCTGTTCATGTTACCATTTAAAAGCTTACCTTTGGCGTTAAGTGACTTGATTCTCTGTCCTGTGAGTTGAACTCTGCTGGGGCATGTTCAAGCCAAGCTATGCTGCTACTTATATTTACTACTTACATTTTCTGTTGCTTTCCTTTACTATTGTGTGCTTTATTCTCAGACTAAGGTAGTTGTTACTGTCCATCCAGACCTAGTAGTTGCTGCTTTTATTTGTCAGAAAGCTTTGTTTTTAGCTCACTGATAAAGACAGAGAACTGTGATGCCTGTTTGTCACTAAATAAGCAGTGTAAAGGCAGAAGAGGAGCAGATCTGACAAAGAAGTTACAGCAGTAGTTAGTTATTTTTCAGAGTAGATCCACATTACATAAGTACTCTTTAAAAGATATATTGCAATTATCAAAGATGTATACCGTAATATACGCACAATTGGCGTTTTAAGGGGGTATTTTATGCATAGGTATTGACAAAAATGAAGATAATGGATAAAATAAATTCAATAATATAGTTCTTTGTTCTTCTTCAAAAAAGTTTCAAAAACTGCTTAGCATTTATTTTTAAATTAAACCTGTGAAGCTATACTTGCTGTATCTGAAAGAGATGCAGTTGCACATAAACTGCAGTGAATTAGAACTTAAATAATATATATCTAGCCTTTACACTTTTCTTAAAGCATGCTAAGTGGCTTGCTACATGTTTTTAAATTCATTTGAAGAATTAGTGCATCATAAAGTAAGGCCTCAATGTTTATGTTCAGTTTGGCTCTTAATTATTCTTGCAAGAAAAGTTGAGGTGACCTTGACTGTATTTTTTCATAACAGCACATTAAAAACTCTTTCTAAATAGCATTCTCATTATCCCATGCTTTGAGAGAGGACAATCTGTCTCTGTCATAGCACTGGAGAAGATGTGCGAGATAGGATTTATCAGGTGGGCTGATCCCTTTGGAAAGAAGCTCTTTCTTCTTTCTGCGAGGAGAAATATAAATGGCACGAGAAAATGCTGCATTAGAACAATTATTCAATAAAGCTGGGTGGTCTTCATCATCTTCTTTTTTTATAACAGGGTATTGTTTTCTTCTAGTAGGTGGCTACTATTGTAGTCAAGTACAAGTTTGCCATAGAGAAGGTGAAGAATGAGGAGGATATTTGAAGACAGGCTGGTGCAGCAAGTATCTCAAATTACTTTTTGTGATTAATGGCCGACATGGAACACAGTTTTTATGAGCAGGACACTGATCTGCCCCATATCATTTTAGTCATTCCCATACTTGATATTTTTTTATCCCAACTTTCAAATATTTTTACATTACTGAATTCATATTTACTGCACCACGTTGAGAGAGAAAATAAGATTATTCTTGTCCTGGACAGTGGAGGTTATGTACTGCTTTTTTTTTTTTTTTTCAAATTTTTGTTCTTCTGTGCCAATAAAACGTGCAATCAGAGCCCAACTATGCAGCTGGTAGTTGTTAGCCTATGCATCTGAATAGGATAGAGGTATCTGAAGGACCAGTGCAGTCCATGCTCTCAATGACCTTGAAGAAGTGACACCTGAGGGGAAGCAGGTGGCTGTGGTGATCTCAGAACATTTCATAGGCCTTATACAAAGTGTACTCATAACTAGAATTATCTGTTATCCTAAATCTTCTTCTAACCAAAGAGTACAAGTTTTAAAAGGATAAGAAGTATAAATTCCTTTTCTTAACCTTAAGACCTCTCTCTGCAGCTCAAATACAGAAGGTATGGTGTTAACTAGGTCACAATAGCACTTATATAATATCAGTGAGTACAGGACTTTATACTCAGACTTGTTCCAGTTTCCTGTTATCTTACCACCCAGGAAGACTGAATTGAGTGAAAAATGTTTCAAAAATATTTTAAAGTACATGAACATTTGCTAAATGTCTTAAAATTTTCTGGCCCTCATAAGACAATTTGTTAGGACTCTGTATTTGTACTTGAAGGACTAATTCAGTGTCAATATCTAGGTAGATGTTGAATGTTTAACTTCATTTTGCTTTTGGAGGCAGCTTGTAGCTCTCAATTAACAAAGAAATTCCTCATATCTACCCATGTCTGCGGCATTTGTGTCTCAGCATGAGGTTGGATGGTCACTAACTGATGACTCAGTGTAGTTTGAGCATTCACAATATATCCAAGGGGTAGCAATACTCTGATTCCATCCACAACACAGAGAAGACAATTAACTTGAATATAGGACACTAACAAATTTTTTATGGACTGGCTGGTGTTTTAAGCCATGGAGGAATCTACAGTTTTTATTCATCTTCCTGAACTGGGGCAATATTTCTTCAATTTTCTTAGTAGGTATCATTTATATTTGATATTTGTACTTGTTCTTTCATATATTGCCTAAAAGCAAAAGTAGTTTCTAAGAGAATAAAAGGCAGTATTGGACAGCAGTGAAATAGAATAGTTTTTATCTGCTTTTTTTTATTGAAAGCAACAATTGATTTAGTAAATAAATTATTAAATCCATCCCTCAGAAACAAGTGAAATATACTGATAGAAAATGATTGCTACTTTAAACATTTTTAAAGGGATTTTACTAAGTGCTTGACACACAATGCTTTATAACCAAATGAGTGGCTGTTTTGCTATTTTGCTATTTGGTAATCTTAAATTGCCAGTTTTTTAGCTGTAAAGTTTTCCCTGGGAAATTCAGGCACAGAGAGTTCTCAAATCATGTGGCAGATTGCTATGAATAATGTTATTAACATTGAGTAAGACCAGTTTTTAAGTAAAGCAGCTACTCCTTTTCCCCCAAAGGACAAACCCAGAAGCTAACAAAGGAAATTAGATTCTCTGTATCTGCCAGCACATCCACGACTGTAATAAATTCTGGTACCTGTGAAAGTCACAGCAAAACCCACACCCATGTGAGGCATAGTGCAGCCAAGAACAAAAAAAGTTCATTAACTTCTTGGCCTCTTGATATTTTCAGGCTTCTGAAATAAGATTTCCATCTAGCTAATATTGTATGACAGTGATGAAAGGCAGTGGCATACCCTGGATCTTCTGGCAGAAGCATGGATATGATAGCAATTGACCCTTGGCACTCTGTAGAGCAGAAATGTCAGGAAACAATGAGTCAAGCCTCACAGTGCCAGCGGGCCCCAAGGTGTGTCCTGGGGCCAAGGCAGGGGAGTTCCAAGGTGGGAGATGCACTGTGGACGTGGTGTGGGTTTGTTTTGCAAACTGCTCGCCGTTGGTCTCCCGCGGATCCCTGGCTGGTTGGTACTAAAGGCTGCATTCCCCTCTCCCCTCTCCCAGACGGCTCCTGGCAGGGCTGTGGTAAGTATTGCCTCCCCTGGGCAGGTGGCGCACGGCAGCACGAGAGAAATTTTAGTTTTAAGCTCTTACTCTTTGTATCGAACCTCACAGGCTGCTGTTTGCAGCTGGAGCAGCCCTGCAAGTGTGATTGCAGGAACCTTGGCAATGAGGTTGTTTTAGATGTGGACTGCATAATCAGATTTTGAAGGCTGAGTCTGGAAAGAGTGCAAGGAACTCTTGAAATGCAACGAATTGCCTGCCAGTGAGATGAATTGCTCACACAGTTTGTGGCCATCAGTGTTATTCTAGGATATGGGTCAATTTGACAACAGCTCTGCTTGCAAAGTCCCAGCTCACTGGGACCAGGAGTATGTTGTATTAACAAGTAATATGTACTTCATCTGTATTACAAATTAATGGGTAAAAAACAGTTCTTCTTCAGGTAACAAACCTATTTTCTTCTATGCTGGACTCAAAATGAAGATCACAGAAATCTGTGTAGATGTTAGATTAAAAAAAATTAGAAATATTATTGGGGAAAATGCCTCACTTTCTCAACTTCAGAGATAAAGAGATTCCCTTTCAGTGCCACACTTCCCATAGAGCAGTTTTATGGTCCACTTGTATTGTGTATTACATGCAGCTACTTGAATACCACACTAGTGTTATCAAACTCTAACAATTCCTTTAACAGCACACTTTACTTGTTGGAAAAGCCCCACTGAAAAGCTCTTGACAGATTTGCTATGCATGCTTTTAAAATGATTGCTGTGTTTTCTCTATATTCTCAGCAACTAATATGCACCTGATCTTTTACTCTTGTCTCTGTATCACCAGGCCTCCTGAACCTGTTTACAGCACTGTGAACAAACTGTGTGATAAACCACCTTCTCCTAGGCACTATTCCCCTGTCGAGTGTGACAAAAGCTTCCTTCTTTCAGCTCCCTACCCCCACTACCACGTAGGCCTGCTCCCTGACTCTGAGATCACCAGGTACTGCATGCGCTTCTTCCTCACCTCCTTTGTTAAAGTGCATGAACATCACTGGATTTATCTCATAGTTTACATCTTCACCACAGATCTTTTTCTACAGCTTGTGCTTATTTTTAACCATGCTTTCACATCTGCACCACCGGGAGATACATGCTACCTTGGTATATAATTTTGGTCATCCAAAATCCAGTGATGAGCACGGGCAATGTTTTGATCCATTGGAATGGTGCTCTAAAATAGGTTACATAATATGTACCACATTTTGCAACTGAATTCAGTGTTTGTTTCTCTTTGAGTATGGAAAGTGACCAAGACTTCACTGAAAGCTGTAGTAATTTGTTTTGATTCAGTCACTTTATTCCTTTGTTGTGCATACTTAGTTCACTGAGCATCTCTGTGTTTATAGGACAGCTGCCTAAGCCATTCAGAAGAAATAGAGCAAAAAATAATCACCTCCCTCACCAAATCATGGTTAAGAATGCATTTTAAATTCAGCATTCCCTAGACTAGCTGTGCTCTGAGAAGATGGTTAGGAAAGCCTAAAATTATGACCATTTCCATGACTGAAATAATGGAAGATCTTTCTGTAAAACATTGTCAGTGATTGACTCCTGATAAATATTTAATGAAGGAAAGCAGACTATGCAAAACCTTACACTAGTATAAGCCAGCTATTTCTCTACAGACTACAAGGATAGTAATAAACCATTTGCAAACAATATTTGGGAGATAGAGGAAGAGTTAGGCACAATTTTTCTAGAGTGCTTCCTTTGCTAGGAAAAATTTTATTCTAGAACAGAAGAAAAATAATTATGTTTGGAGCTTTGATCATAGACATTTTCAACAGGAAACATTTTTCAAAGCAAAGAATAATGTGGAAAGAGCAGAAGTGTGTAAGTGGAAAGTAAAATGGTAAATTAATGTAAGATACACTAACAGGAAAGAAGCCCTGGGGATTAGGAAGACAGCCATGAAAGGCATTGCAATACTATGAAATGGAAAGCTCCATTAAAAGAGCAAGAAGACAAATACTAGCAAAGAATGTTACAGATGTGGCGAAACCATGCAGAAGATGTCAGTTTATTAGAATGAAAACAGTGTAGTTTCTAGAATTTGTAAAAAGATGCTTAATCAAAGTGGGCCAAGTGATTAGTCAAGCTGTTCAGCCCAGTGGAGTTTGGAGTGAAACAAGTTTTAGTGATTATTACAGTGTTTTATAAAGGTGTAAATATGTGCACAAGGGTGCCAGGCACTAACAGAGTTACTCAAAATATTTTAATTTCTCCGCTAATGTTGCCTTAAATTTCATATGTGGGCAAAAAGTTGTAAAAGTACTCTGGTTCTTTAGGTCAAGTATAAATATGAGTAATTTATCTGTGCATGGCAATTCTTCTGAGGTTTTAGAATGAGACAATGGTAGAGTTCATTATAGAAAGACTCTTTCAATGGTCCTGTTAGAAAGAAAGGTTCCAACTTGAACTAGAAAGTTAAGTGATTGGGTTCTAGTGGATGTTGGGGCCATGGAGCTGAGTGCCTTGCTAACCACAGAGAGAGGTAGTTCATTGCTGAATGGTTGATCTCTCCAGACATGACTACTATGGAGAGAGGCTGGGGGAAAAGATTATGTTAAAGCTGCTTCCTGCAACCGCATACTTGGAAGTCAATAATCAGTAGAGCTCTGGAAGGCTCATAAAACTAGGCCATTTTGGCACCTGAATGTATAACTCTGTACATTCTTTTGCTTTGATTGATTGATTGATTGAATGATTGATTGATTGATTGATTGAATACTTGGTCATCAGATATTTGATAGCCTAACATCAGGACTTGGAAAGCTGGGTATTGTTCTACTGAGTGTGAGTTAACAATTCTCTTTAAGAACGAGGTTTCATTTATCTTCATTCTACTTTGATATAATTTTGAGCTCTAGTCCTTGTATATTTAATGAGTTTGTTTAAATCAACAGTCCAAAAAAACCTGCAAAAAGAACATAAAATATGAGAAAAGACACAAGTCATGATTAAATGCTCTGTGCTATACTCTGCTACATGCTGTTGCAGAGGCAACTGATTACTATAATTTGTAGTTCCTTCACACTGTGAAATAACATTCAGATGGAAAATATGACAGTTTTCCATGTTCTCAATACTGTCATCTTTTCCACAGGACTCTGAATAGTTGAGTGTGGAGGAAGACATTTGAAATAATATTTCAGCAAATGCCTTTGGTAAGGAAAGTGACAGCTTTACAGTGGATCATGATTCAATTTCCAAATGGACTCGGTATTCACAGTTAAAAAACAGATTTTAGAAAAGTACTGATCTCATTTTTACCCTAATACAAGTGGCTGTTCTTCCAAGAGTATTTAATGTACACAGCCCTAAATTTCCCAAAGGCAATGTGGTTAAGGACTGTATTGTGTGGAAAATTTTGAAGAATTAATCCTGTAAAAGACCCTGTTTTAGATCCACAGTCATGATACCACCATATCTGTGGGAAGTTACACTAAAAAAATAATCTTTGAGATACTGACCAAGTATTTTGAAAGGTCCCCCTCTACTCACTTAAATTCCTCAAAGCTCTTTTCCTTCACATTAAACACTTCAATGAGCTCCAGTCAAAAATAAAAATGTACCTCACTTTCTTCATGCAGACTTCCTAGAAAGAGTTCTGCATCAACATTTGTGAGCCTCAAGTTTGGGGAGGAAATGGCAGGGATTATTTAGTTAGTAATTACAGTTATTGTCATATCTCAGCACTCCAATATTGAGAATCTGCTGTTGGTTTGCAGGAAATTCAGTTTGACAAATGACTCTTCCAGAGGAAGAGGAACATGATGCCATATTCTCCCAACTGTAAGCCAGTCAATGCCTTTCAAATTGCTGCTCCAGATAATTTGTCAGCTGCTCCTCAGATGATTGTTTTGTCAAGGCTCATTAACTTAATAGGCAGAGAATTCATAGGGCAAAGCTTTATTTGTCTATAATAAATTCAAGTTTATAACCCTGGCTTTTATGGTGGTCTGTCAACTCCTGGGAGATTTGGAGGTCTAGAACAATGTACTTCCATTTATGATAAGTGTAATTAGTTTTTTGATTGAGATATCGGTTCATATGAATTGATACTAAGAGAGCTATGTCAATGTGCAACAGCTGAAAATCTGTACCATTGAAGGCAGGAGTAGAGAGAGAATTTTGGAGTAGTGAGTTTTCCTTTGAGAGCACCATGTGGGAATGGATGTGGAGTACTCATTTCTGGCCCCTGTCATTATTGACTATTATGTCTACAAATAGAAGATTATTGGCAGTGAAAGAAGTCAGAGCTCATAGATGAAACCCTCTTTCTACAAACATAAGATTTTATTTCAACACTGTGTGAAACAAAGTGTTCCCAGGCTTTGCACTGAGAACTTCATTGCATTCCCCTCTACAAAGACACACTTGAAAAGTGCTTTGGTTTTTCCGAGAATTCACCTCCTTGTATTCACCAAAATCTTTCTGGCCCTCTAGTTGCCAGTAAACTTTTTGGTAAAGGGCTGCCCTGAAATTTTTGGCTTTTATTTACTTTATGTTTTTACTTTCCTAATAAGTCTCTGATCATATGATTTTGTTTGTTTGTTTGTTTGTTTTGGGGTTGGGTTTTTTTGTTTATTTTTTTTGAGTACATTTAGGGAAGGAACTAATGGTTGGGCTTCATTTCAAGGTATTTGAGGAATCAGAATAATGACAGCATTTTTTCGAATGACCTTTGCTTTCTTTGAGATGGGGATTAGGGAGAGAAGATAACATTGGCATGAGGCTCTAGGGCAGAGCCTTGAAGAAAAGTGTGTACCTTTGCATCAGTATTCAAGGGTAACTGAGCATTGTGGAACTTCTAAAAGCCACAGGAATAAAAGTGTGCTGAAATGGATGCAGGCATATGGGTCAGGAGACTGCAATGTCCAAAACCTTGATGTGTGATGCTTCTTCCAGTGTGTGGCATGGAAGGGTCACTGCACTCCTGTGGTCTCTGCAGCCAGCCTGGTGCCTGTCTGCCCTAAGCACTGCTGCCTGTGGTCCCCCCCCATGTAGTTTTAGGGATCCCTGGGATCCCTCCACAGGCCATGAAGGCACTGAGGAGGTGCTGATCACTGTTCACAGACCCTGAAAGGAAGTTAAGGGAGCTGCACTCAAAGGTGTGAGTAGTGAGTCTCTCTGGTAGTCACTCTCTCATTATTAATATCTGCACAGCCTTTTCCTTCCCAGCAACCTGCTGGGAGCAAGGTTATTGTCAGAGTGATGCACATAACTGCACTTGTGTGTGGCTGCCTTCCAGGGAGGCTCTTGTCATCTTTATTGAAATTCACACTGTACAGGAGTACTCATCGTCCCCTGTTCGATCCCATGTGTTTAATATGGGAATTATATCTCCCAAAACATATCATGCCATATTTTGTGGTTCTGAAATGCCTGGCAACCTGAGAATGGAGCCTATCAAACAACCAGTAAAATAGCAATGATATTATGAAATCAAGTCTTTAATGTGGCCCACATAAACACAACCACCTTTCTTGAATTTAAAAATAACTTCTAAAAAATAACTTCTACTGCTAAGTTCTCTTTGTTTACCTGTTTTTTTGTTTGCTTGGGTTTTTTTTGGTAGAAATTTCAAATACTAATTACAAAATGGGAAAATAGTCTGTTTAGGTCAAATGGTTGTAAATACTCAAATATTTAAAACAAGAATCAGAGCAGATTTATGCTTCTTATTTTAACACCTTCAGATCAGCTTCTGGACTGATCTGCATTTTACACAATCCAGCCACAGACAGCAAGCTTATATATAATGAAGTACTACTATTGAAAAACATTGCTTAAAGACAGTGGAGGGGAATAAGTACACAATTTTCTGTGGATTTTTGAACATAAAAATAGGCAATAGCAAGGTTCAGCTTATTCAGTGTCAATGAAAACAACCTAACCTTATAATCACAAAAAAAACCCCAACTTGGAAAATATAAG